TATAATGAATATCCAAGCAGCATCTAGGCATCTGGATCTGGACAGGGGCTCATCTGCCAACAGAGATAGGGAAATTCGACCAAGTACACCATAGGGGAAATCACAGGTATCCATAAACAACAGCTGATGTCCGTCGCACAATTGATAGATCTTGTGCCGCAGTGGATAACGCCCTGGTGTTTGAATCCATGGGTACTGGGCCCGAGTGCCAGTGGGAACAACACCACTCACTAAGGTGCAGGTACATCCAGCTGGCGAGTCCTAAATAGACTCTTCTCATTTTTTTATTCCTAAATGAAGATAAAGTGTAGATACATCTGCGTCACTGGTATCCATTATGAGCCATGCCAGCTAGTCTCCAACTACTGGATTCTCTTGTCAAGTGGACCCTGACTAGCATTGCTCACATGGTGATTCCACCGAACGTGAGGAATACTACGAAAACACCTGTGGTTGGAAACCTGTAAGCACTTCACGTCTTCTACTTCGAATGCTAAACAGGCCTTCTGTATCCAAGCTGAGATTCTGCTAGCAACCAGCCCATTCGCACTGATTCGACTCCCCAAGTAAGTGAAGTGGTCGTTGAATAGCAGCACTTTACTCCCTACCCTTAAACTAAGAGTGGTTGCAGGCCAGTCCTGGAGCATCATCTTTCAATTGACAGGTGCAAAACGAATATTAAACATACTCAAATTTCTGTTCAACGCTTTCAGAAGACTCTGCATTTTGCCAACACCTAGCAGGACAACTTAAATAACTGTCTACTGTTACCTATCGCCACTGCCTTTCCTGTCTCTTTGACCTTCGCTGTCAATCACTGTTCAGTTATTACATGGAATTTTTGTCAGCCTACATTTTGGTAGTTTCTGCTCGCTAAAGTTAATGACAAACACGTATTTTCAAGCAATTATTCAAAAGTCTGTTGGTCTAGTACCTAAGATCTCCCAAATAGTAGTAAGCGGATACCTTGGTTGACAGATTTGAAAGCCGCTCGAATAACCGAAATCCAGGCAACAGGATAGTATTACTATTGAGATTTTCTGTGACGATACATTTTCTATGAACTTCCCATTCCCTATTGATTCAACTTTCTTGAGGGAGCCATTGTTGCTACGTACCGATACACTTCATTTCACATTTAAACGTCATCACTTTCAACAAGTTGACAGTGTCGCCATTGGAAGTCCTTTAGGAACAGCACTAGCTGATATATATCATCATCATCATCATTATCGACATAGGACCAGGCATTACTGCGTAACGGTCCGAGTTGCCACACCTCATATCAGCACATCAAGTAAAAAGGTAGTGAGGTGAAGGATGAAGATAAGTGAATGCAGTCAAAAGAAATATAAAGTATGAGAAGAAAGGAAAGAGGAGTGACAAAATAGTGAGATTCGGTATAGCGTTGTTAAGATGAGGATAATGTGTGTATACATCTGCGCCACTGACTTCGGTCCTGAGCCATATCACCTAGGGTCTCCAACCACTGGTTCCTCTTGTCCCGTGGACCCCAACCACCTAGTCTGCATCGTCCTACATGGCTTAAACCAACAGTCAGAGACTTCATACATCGGTGCCATGTTTTAGTCTGGCCACCTCGGGCCTTTTTCCAGCCTGAACCCACCTCAGCCAACATTGTATGACGAGGCAATCGGTGACTAGGCATACGTAGTACGTGTCCCAACCATCTCAGTCGATGAAGGTTCACAACCTCGTCGACTGACTTACCTCTTCTCCCCAAAACTCTACACCTAACTTCTGCATTACTCACATGGTGACACCACGGAATATGTCCTATACTACGAAGGCAACGGTGGTCAAATACCTGCAACCTTCTCATGTCTTCCACTTTCAATGGCCATGTTTCACAGCCATACAGTAGAACAGAGCGGACTGCTGTGCAGTACACGCGACCCTTAATAGACAAACGAATATCACGGCGGCGCCATAGGTGGCGCAAATTGGCAAAAGCCAATCGAGCCTTTTGTATCCGTGCAGAAATCTCATCGGCAACTGACCCACCGGAGTTGATCCTACTTCCCAGGTAAGTGAAGTGGTCAACACACTCAACCACTTCACTCTCTATTGTTAACCGCGGTACCACTGAAGACCAGTCCTGGAGCAAAAATTTGCATTTGGGTGGTGAAAATCGCATCCCAAACATTCTCAAATTCCCACTCAAAGTGTTCAGAAGACTCTGCATCTTGTCAGCGTCTTCACCTAACAAAGAGACAACGGCGAGTCTCACTATTCCTTTTAGTTCTCACTGTGCCGTTCAGCCTCATAGCGCAGAGGCGACTATCAACTGGGATCCAGTCTAGTAGTGAGTTTTCTGCCCTGGTGCTTAATGCTATACCTACACCTGCAAGACCACGAGAGCTAGCTATCGAATCTCCAGAAACTCGAAGGGTGAATTTTGCAGATTCACCAGATTGGTCAGGAGAGGTCAGGTGAATAACCACACTTGGGTCCTGTATGCGTGTCTCACAAACACAGCACACATCCATGCCTCGAGTTGCTAGAGTCTTTGCCAACGAAGCCTGTTGGCCAATTTGACGGAGGGTGCGGACATTGAAGGCTCCAATATGTAATTTGGAGCGTGGTTTAAGGAGACCAGGGACTGTTCTGTGGACTCAGATCGTTGTCGAAGGCTGCAGAGGTAGGAGAAATTGAAGATGATGCAGCATCATTAATTAAGAGACGTGAAGGAAGATTAGAAGGTAATGATGGAGGAGGAGGATAGCAGTCAGAAGAAACTTGGGTGCTGACAGAGTTGTGAGGGCGGTTGACACTTCCCGGCTGCCCACACCGTGGAAGGCTATTTCTTCTTAAGGTACCTGAAAGAGATTTGTGTGACCGCAGAGCCCATCGGACATCTGCTTGAGGCCTGTCACACCCAGCCTTTTGAGTATGATTATTTTGAATTTTTGTATTTTTGGGGCCGGATGAGCGAAAGGAAACGACAAGTGAACCAACACCGCCGGCCCGGCAGACCGTGGGGCGTGGTGGAGTGTGTTATTTTTGGGGCCGACCTTTTCTAACCCCCCCTTCCACTGAGAAGGCAGCATCAGCTTGGCACTGCTGGTCATCCAAGGGAAACACCTTACTGCTGTCACACCCCATCCAGCTAGCAGCAGTACGACTTCGCCCTCAGACCCCCATCATAGTATAGCAATTTACACTATGACGGTAACTGCTTTTCGTCTAACCACTACCCAACAGACCTTTCTGGTATGGTAGGACCTCGAGGGAACAAGCGTTCCACCAGCATAGCTCGTTGGGTCATTGTGATATGCAAGCCCGACCACCACGTCAAGGTAGCAGCTATCGGTCGGGAGCTGATATATATATATATATATATATATATATATATATATATACACTACACTATGATGGTAAATTCTTTAACGTTTATTGCAATTCAACAGGTGTTCCTGAAGAGCTACAATTTCAGGGAATAGTTGTTCTAGTCATATATAAGCTTAACCGAAACACCAGAGTAGCAAATGTTGGTCAGGATGGTTCCCCCGTGCAGTAGCTGCCACTCTGACGTAGTGATCGGGGTTGCACATCACAGTGAAACAACCAGCTATGCTGGTGGAACACTTGTCTGCTCGAGGTTCTCCCGTATCAGAAACGTCACTTGCATAGTGGCGAAACAAAAAGGCAGTCGCGATTATGCTGCAAATTTCTACGCTAGGATGTGGGTTCTAAGACGAAGTCGTGCAAGGGCAATAAAGTATTTAGGTAGGTAACCAGCACTGGGAAGCTCATGCTGACTTTTCCAGTGAAAGATAAAGGTTAGAAACCGCTGGTCCTACAAACAACATACCCCCCTTCACGTCACAGCACAGAGGTGCCGGTGATACGAGTTCGCAGTCGGATTTGCGAAGAAAAAACCAAACTACCACACAAAATGTCCACGCGTGACCTGCCTTAACTGAATGTCACTTGGGGTCTCCAGTAACGCACTGAACCTCCTTTTTCAGGTATCTCAAGGAATGGCCTCAAACGATGTAGGCAGCGGCCACGTTTCAGCCACTCAAGTTCACTCAGGATGATTTTTGAGATGAAGTCTACTTTGTTCACAATGACGACCACAATTTTAGTGCCACGCCATCAAAATACCAAGAAAGTGCAGATGATGCTGATACGCAGAATATTAAAGTGGTGAGTTCGAAATCGATATACTTCTTTTTCTCTTCATATAGTTAAAATATTTCAAGGGACAGGGCAAGAACTTACAAATCCCGAGAAACAACTATGTCGGCACCAAGTACTGGTTTTCTCATAGGATCAACAAACATTGGGACCTGATGCAAGAAAGATTGATGTCCGCGCATTCAAGTAATCCATTTGAATGGTACTGGGAGAATAATAACGGGCATCGACAGCCTTGAACCCTAAAACATCAAAATCGGTAATGCATGAAGCAGCGACCTGACAGATCTTAAAATGAGCAACCAAATATCAGCTGAACTAGTCTGGTGATAAGGGATCTCCCTGGCGCCCAAATTTCAGTTATTTCAGCGTTGTAGCACAATCAAGAGGTAGGCGGTATGTGGTCAAGCATCAATCAAGTACTACCAGATAAATACGACTCAGTTACCAATAGCAAAAGTATTTAATGAATGCATAAAATACTGTAGATATACAGTTTCGAGTCCAAAAACTAAGTATCAGTAATTGTCGAAAGTAAAATGAGATCTCATGAGTGTAAAATGTCATCGGAAAATGACAGGAGTGACAATAGGTAAGGGCAAGTAAAAATCAATTTCTAAATAAAATCAAATTTGGTGTACTCAGAATTAAAATGAATTTCATCGTTATAAGATAGTCTTTGAAGCTTGTTGTATGAATCAAATTATTAAAATGCTGAAATTTTAGTGAGGAATCACTGAGTTGAAATCAAGTGTGAAGCAGCCTGCAAGAAAGTTGTTAGATATATGCAGCCTGATACTCACTGTTATAGAAAATCCCAACAAAGATGGTCCAAATCAAATCTGTTCACTGTTCGATGAACAGTGAACTATGTCTATTATTTCTGATTCATTTGAAGGAAGCCATGGTCGTTCCCATACGGTGGCTTTGCACACCTTACTCTTAAAATAAAAAAGTACGTCACCACAAATTTAATTACCTCTCCAGAAACTATGCCACAAGAATTCTGTTGAAAAATAGCAGTATCTACGGAAGCTAAACAAAGTGTGAGAAATAAGATTTTCTTACCATAGGTTTCCTGATCAAAATTTGTACACGATGTGGGGGAAAGTTCAACGAAGAATGTATACTTTATTCCCTGAACTACCTGCAACAAGATAAGTCATAAAATGTTTTAACCTGAGAAGTGGCGTTCAGCAACTTAGTTATGATGTGCAGGTTCTGAAGTCCATAATGGTCATTGATCTTGCCTGCCACCTTGGCTAATAGAGCAGCGTATGACTCCATTGTAACTTCATCTTGCGGCAGCTTCTTAGGTGCACCGAAAGATCCCCCATTTCCCGCTTTAAGAAATAAGACGATAGATACCAATACAAAGATATTCATGAGAGAGGTAAGGGCGACACGTGACCTTGAAGGGCTTTGACCTTCGGACATCCGGCAAAATGTTAACCACAACATCCAACATCAATAGCACGAGTAGAAGACACTTGTAGCTTCTGAGCTCTCACTTCTAGGTCTTGAGGCTCGGTTCCTTTTGTCCGGTTTTACTCCTTTGCATTTTCCTAATTTTAGCATTGGAGGTAGTCATTGTCCATTTGAAAGTATTATTTTTGCAAATTGTATATATTGTATAGTTTGGTTGCTAAGGTATACAAGACTAGATCGCAAGCAGAAGCCTGTATAACAGTGTCAGCTGGTGGGCGGAAAGTGGTATGTCCAGACAGGTAGAGCGTGGTACCGATCCCAGCATCCACAGCCCTCATCTCAATCGCTTTCCGAACATAGGATTTACCCAGGCCCGTAAACCTGTGCAGGCGTAACGATAATAATGCGCCACCAAAATCCTGCAGAAAAGGTAAAATTGAGGCGAACGTGGTTGTCGACTGCAGGAGATACTCGATACAAGCACTCCGAAAGCAGAAATCACTGTCGCGAAGAGTGAGCAAATTACTGATAATGTAGTATTTTTAATGTGCCGGCTGATGGCTCTTGCAGCCTTTGCGTGTGACGTCTACTTGTGGCTGCGATATGGGTTTATAGTGTCGGTATCACAACTTCATGACGAGACAGAGATATAAGCGACTGTGACTTATACGTCCGGAATGCCGAAACATACCCACTCAAACCGCTTGGGCCCTCAGAGAGCTGTAACATCCTCAGAGATCACAGGCTACGGGCTCCCAAACCCCACCCACGTAAGCAAGCAAGCCTCTCGGGTGCTTCCGGTCACAGTAGACAACCTGTCTCGGTCATATGTAAGAGGCCTGTGGCTTTCACACCCGAAGCGTCAAAACACTTCACACAGATGGCAGAAACGGCACACACAACGAACCCGCTTGCATCCAGAACAACCAAGCCAAGTGGACGGAGGCATACTGCAATGACCCAGGCCACTAAGCCCAATAATTTGCACATGCGGGGCAAGAGGACAAACGAAATCACCTCGCTGACTGTCGCCTCATCGGCGGACTGACTGCTAGAAAAGAAAGGTGGCTTGATAAAGAGAAACGACGTGACTTGCAAAATATCAGAAATAAAACCCATTGCGGTGTGGATATTCTGACTCTCTTGAGAAAGCAGAGCACCTCTAGACAAAAACTCCATACAGCGTCAGTGGCGCCGGTAAAACAGCTGGAGAATATGGTTTTCCTTTGCACCAACCACATATCGCAGGTTCCTTCGATAAAAGGAAGCCAGATAAAGCGTGGACCACCATGAGCGTAGAAAGGCAATCCACTCTCAGTTATTTGCACATGGTTGCGACCTTGGCGATACTCGAACTAGCAGGAGGATCTACAAACAATGAACGCAGCCTTAACAGTGCGGAGCAGTGGAGTTGGCTGGCATTTAAAATGGGGCAAAAAAACTGACCAGCCAGTAGTCCAAGTAGACTGACAAGACCAATTCACTTACAAGTGACGTTTCTGATACGGGAGAACCTCGAGCAGACAAGTGTTCCACCAGCATAGCTGGTTGTTTCACTGTGATGTGCAACCCCGATCACTACGTCAGAGTGGCAGCTACTGCACGGGGGAACCATCCTGACCAACATTTGCTACTCTGGTGTTTCGGTTAAGCTTATATATGACTAGAACAACTATTCCCTGAAATTGTAGCTCTTCAGGAACACCTGTTGAATTGCAATAAACGTTAAAGAATTTACCATCATAGTGTATATATATATATATATATATATATATCAGCTAGTGCTGTTCCTAAAGGACTTCCAATGGCGACACTGTCAACTTGTTGAAAGTGATGACGTTTAAATGTGAAATGAAGTGTATCGGTACGTAGCAACAATGGCTCCCTCAAGAAAGTTGAATCAATAGGGAATGGGAAGTTCATAGAAAATGTATCGTCACAGAAAATCTCAATAGTAATACTATCCTGTTGCCTGGATTTCGGTTATTCGAGCGGCTTTCAAATCTGTCAACCAAGGTATCCGCTTACTACTATTTGGGAGATCTTAGGTACTAGACCAACAGACTTTTGAATAATTGCTTGAAAATACGTGTTTGTCATTAACTTTAGCGAGCAGAAACTACCAAAATGTAGGCTGACAAAAATTCCATGTAATAACTGAACAGTGATTGACAGCGAAGGTCAAAGAGACAGGAAAGGCAGTGGCGATAGGTAACAGTAGACAGTTATTTAAGTTGTCCTGCTAGGTGTTGGCAAAATGCAGAGTCTTCTGAAAGCGTTGAACAGAAGTTTGAGTATGTTTAATATTCGTTTTGCACCTGTCAATTGAAAGATGATGCTCCAGGACTGGCCTGCAACCACTCTTAGTTTAAGGGTAGGGAGTAAAGTGCTGCTATTCAACGACCACTTCACTTACTTGGGGAGTCGAATCAGTGCGAATGGGCTGGTTGCTGGCAGAATCTCAGCTTGGATACAGAAGGCCTGTTTAGCATTCGAAGTAGAAGACGTGAAGTGCTTACAGGTTTCCAACCACAGGTGTTTTCGTAGTATTCCTCACGTTCGGTGGAATCACCATGTGAGCAATGCTAGTCAGGGTCCACTTGACAAGAGAATCCAGTAGTTGGAGACTAGCTGGCATGGCTCATAATGGATACCAGTGACGCAGATGTATCTACACTTTATCTTCATTTAGGAATAAAAAAATGAGAAGAGTCTATTTAGGACTCGCCAGCTGGATGTACCTGCACCTTAGTGAGTGGTGTTGTTCCCACTGGCACTCGGGCCCAGTACCCATGGATTCAAACACCAGGGCGTTATCCACTGCGGCACAAGATCTATCAATTGTGCGACGGACATCAGCTGTTGTTTATGGATACCTGTGATTTCCCCTATGGTGTACTTGGTCGAATTTCCCTATCTCTGTTGGCAGATGAGCCCCTGTCCAGATCCAGATGCCTAGATGCTGCTTGGATATTCATTATATTGTAGTCTAGTGGATATAGCCTAGTGGACAACACTTTGGGTTTTTAAGTGATAGGTACTGGGTTTGAATCTCTGTGGGAACAACACTCACTAGGGTTCAGGTACATCCAGCTAACTAGTGAATCCCAAATAGGACAAAATGCGTATCCTGGATTCCACTGCTGGCCACCAAATACACTTCAATATAATGGATATCAAGGCGGCATCTGCATCCTTGCCCATCTGCAAACGGAGGCCGAGCAATTCGACACAGTATAACAATTAAAAATCACAAGTATCAATAGACAAAAAACGGGGAGAGGTTCAGGGGAATGATGGAATTATTAAAATTAACATATGAATATTAATGGATTGCGAACTTGGTGATTGAACCATTCAACCAAAGGAGGTTAAGTATGAAGAGCTATTTCACACATAAGTCGTTTGAAATTCATGCTTAGGATACTTCCTCGACACGTTTTACAAATAGGTCTGAAAGATGTATAAACGTCAGTTTAACGACATGGACATGGAATCTCCGCACCATGTTTAACCCAGTAAGGCAGCCCAGATTGCAAAGGAGATGAGAAGGTATAACATCGAAGTGCTTGGGATTTGCGAAAGCAGATGGAATGGGAGTGGACTCTCCAAACTGTCAACTGGAGAATCAATAATCTACTCCGGTCACCCAGACGCCAACCACGAGCACACTGAGGGAGTGGCTATCATGATGTCCTCAAGAGCATCGAAGGCTCTCATGCAGTGGGAACCAATCTCCTCCAGGATCATGACAGCAAGATTCAACTCAAAAGGAAGAAAGGTCACAATCATACAATGTTATGCACCTACAAATAATGCAGAGCAAGAGAAAAAGGAGGAATTCTACAGACAACTTCAATCAACACTGGACAAGACCTCAGTTGGCGATATCAAAATTCTAATGGGCGACATGAATGCCAAACTGGGAGAGGACAACACGGGAAGAGAACTAACCATGGGTCGAGAGGCGCTAGGTGAAATGAATGAGAATGGAGAATTGTTTGCAGAATTCTGTGCATTCAACGATTTGGTGATTGGAGGCAGTGTGTTCAGGCACAAGGATATCCACAAAGCGACATGGACTTCACCAGATGGACACACTAAAAATCAAATCGACTTTATCTCAATCTCAAGAAAATGGAGACGCAGTCTACTTAACACAAGGTCAAGAAGAGGAGCAGATGTAGGTTCAGACCACTATCTGGTGCAAGGAACCTTCCAAATCAAGTTAAAAGCCTTCAAGGAAGCTGGTGATAGACCTCAATTCAAGTACAACACTAGGAAACTGAAGGATGAAACTACAAAGGAGATCTTCAAAGCAGCCATCAAGACAAAATGGGAGACATCGAGGGACATCCCTGAAGAAACCTGTGTGGAAGAACACTGGAAATCCTTGAAAGAGATGTGGAAAGAAACCTGCACAACAGTATTAGGAAGGAAGAGGAAAGAAGACAAGGAATGGATCTCGACGGATACCTGGAAGCTGATAGAGGAGAGGAGGATAGTGAAGCAGAAGATAAACCAGTGCATGGATGCTCAACGACAAGAGGAACTGAGCACAATGTATAAAACACTGGACAAAGAAGTGAAGAAGAGTGCACGCAAAGACAAAAGACACTTCTACGAAACACTGGCAAGTGAAGCAGAACAGGCTGCAGGTAAGAGAGACCTGACGACATTGTATCAAATAACCAGGTTGCTATCAGGGAAGAGACCAACACAGATGAAACCAATAAAAGATGAAGAAGGAAATTTAATTACAAAAGAAGAGAAACAGAGGAAACGATGGGCCGACCACTTCAAGAAGCCCTTGAATCGACCACCACCTGCACTTCGTCCAGAAATACCACCTACAGCCGCTGAATTACAAGTGAACATAAATCCCCCAACGAAAATTGAAGTCCTGAACGCCATAAAGCTACTGAAATGCGGGAAAGCAGCAGGACCAGATGGAATACCGCCAGAAGCACTGAGAACAGATGCAGAGACAACAGCGGACATGCTCACACCACTATTGCAGAAGGTGTGGAAGG